CTATTGGGCAGTGTCTAATTCTACGCCGTAATAGAACTTTGTTTGCCCAAACACACTTAGGCAACAACTCGGAGCTAATGGACTTGCCTGTTTTCACCTCAACCCATATTTTTCAGGTGGCAGATTGAACGTACAAGTTCCATCATTTCAAGGTACTGTTTTCCCTTAGTCTCAAAGACCACCACACTACCCTATCTACCATCTTTAATACACCAATATTACCATGCTTCGACCACACCATTTCCCAAATTGTGTTGGACGATGCCCATTTTTTGTAAGGATTTACTGCTTCCACCCGCTGATGTTAGTCATGCCTCAATCTGAACAGAATGTCGTGTAGATGCCTGAGGTCTTGTGACCCACTGACTGGGAATTGTTGTTATTACTTGACTCATGATGTTTATCATCACACTCGTCTATAGAATCAGTTTTAAGCACATTACTTGCTGTCATCGTCCGTATGTACCCACTGATCAGTACCTAATGAATATCAGGCACGTGTAATCCACTAGCTCAAATCGTCCTGTAATATATCAGAACTCCCGAAATTTGAAGTGTTCTTCACCTCTCAAGTGACTCCACACACGGTCCGTCCGGGACATCAAGTTTTCACATCAATAAGCCAAATTTTTGACCACCAAACATTGAGGAATAACTAGGTTTGAAAAGATCTTCTTGGTGGTCAAAATAAGAAGCAAGCTAATGGCCAGCAAGGTAGTCATATTCAGTCACCAGAGCCGTGAGCTTTTCGGCCGAACAAAGGCAAGGCTCTATTTTACGGGCTTCTGTTTGCTAGATAGTCTCTGGTCCAGTGACTGAAGGTACCCCATATTGTCTATTGAAAACGGGTTTCCGGCTACTGGAATTATTGCTGAAGATGAAGCAACTCACCGGACATTGCGCGTTTCGTCCACCCATCAAATTAAGGGCTGTGCCACCGGCAAGACCTCGGTTTGATCAACCAAGTTATATTTCACCCGAAATTCCACCCGCACGTGAAGTATTGATTCTCGACAGACGTCAAGGAACCATTTACATGTCAAGCCTAGATCTCATGTAATGAACACATTCTGGAAATTTGGAAGACTTCTGGACACGATCATGAAAATTGCCATCCATCCCATGCTGAAACAGCCGGCATTTTCGGCCTATTAGATTTCGCTGTGCTGTCCACTTAGCCGGTGGCTGCATTCTGACCAATCAAGTGCGGGTTAAGTCGATTGGCAGATGGGCGTTTAATTGGGGGCGGTGACAGGTTTGGGGACGCGGCCCATCTAACACGTGCTGATTTAGACTAGTGCATTTCACTCCGTTACCCTTGTCCAAGAAACCGGTCCGTACCATAGTTTTTGGCTGCTCTCCATAGTTCGGAAAAAATGATGTGCCACGCGGAACCATCAGCTTTTAGGTGCACTTCGTCAAACGTGTCGAGCCGGGTAGTGGATCCAGTCGTCATTCATAACCTCCATTCCAGAATCACAAATCAGACAACGCCGTGCCTGAAAATCTTGCGTTAACCGAGTTGGTCACACTGATCGCGAGAACCTGGCTGGCCACACAAACAAAAGATAAGTGACTATAATCGAGTAAGCCCGCGAACCTCGTCCAATCGAAAAGCTGCCTGCTGAATTCAAAGTGCAGTCCTCTGCATAGGCGAGAATCTTTGAAAGGCCACGAAGAAAAATGCTCCATGGTGGTCTCGTCTAGCGCGCATGCCACCCGACAGGGTCTCATGGAGACAGCTTGACGTCCAACCCGCGCCCGGAAGCGCAAGGAACCAAACAAAATCATGCTCAGCGTAAATATTCGTAAATCTGGGCGATACACGAGCTAAACAGCAAGTTTAAAGATTTTCGACCCAGAAAAACAGCGTCCGCGCAAATCGGACTCCAAGGGGACAACGCCCTGGAAACGAACAACAGAAATTGAATGTATCGAGACAGGACGCAGACAAATGCACGCAGAGGTTACCCTCGAAGCCCTATAGTCGAGCTTGGAGGAGAACTGCTAATCCTGCCAACCTGTAGTGGTAGAATACCTCTATGCTCTCCACCTCCAGACACACCAGAAGTAGTGCTCAAGTGCGTGATCACAAACCGCCTCAGTCATTTAAACAAACTTCTCGATGTTCAGCAGTCAATTTACCTTGGACACTTACAGAAACCTGGTTCATACCAGAATTAGCTGACGCGGAGATAGCAGCAGACGGCTAAACCGTTTTCCAACCTGACTCGATGGATGGGATAGCTTTATACTCAAATGCGGTGCTGCCCACCCCTAATTTTCTCCGACACCAATCCTACGCCTCTGTGAAGCACTGGAATCAAATTCCGCTGTGTGGGACCAATTCTCTTCTCAGCGCCGTCTACCATTACAGGACTAAGTGTTGTCAAGCGTCGTATGTCTCATCACCGGAAGGGAATACAAGGACGCTCTAATGACGGGCAAAAGTGAACTTCCGGTGAGCCTTATTGCCGGGCCTAGGGAGACAAAACAGCAAAAAAGTGATGGGTTTTAATGCACGCCGTTCAAAACCCACGGATTCAAAACTTCTCGGAGTTTATTCCACTGGTTCAGGTATATTCATCATCATCATCATCATCCTCCTCCTCCTCATCATCATCATCATAACATCGGTGTTCAACATCGATGCTTCACTGCCCTCAAGTACACCGGAAGATGACCTGTTCTGAGCAACTCTCCTCCAGCTACTACTTCATGCATCTTTTAACGTTCCCAAAGCCCCTTGGATGGGGTTACAGCGCATCGGGTTTAGTGGGCACTGTATCAGCGCTGGATAAAGTCATTCAACAGCACTTGAACTCAGCAAATCGACGCACCCATCAGATACCACGCTGGCCAGCTACCATCCCTACTGGATCTGATTATCAACAACAAAAGGCATTTCGTTGATCAGAGGTTATTTAAAGTACCAACGGGTCATTGGGACTGTTGTGTGCTGACTTGATTTCATCTGCTACTGGGCCAGGAACGGATATGGATTTGAAAATTCTGCAGTGCAGACTTCTCAGAAAAGTTCATCTTTGATCAGCTTGAAGTGGTACAAGCTTCAGTAGAGTTGACATACAGGACGATTGTCCAGAAAATCTATGAAGCTGACGAGGTATTTGTCCCCCCCCCCAAAAAAAAAAAAGCACGCAGCT